TAATATTTTTTGTAAATTTTTGAGGATTAGAAGGAATCATGTCAGAGTTATTACATTAAATTACCGCCACAAAACAATAAAAAAAAATGCCCACAATTATAATATTTAATTAGATTCTGTTTTAATTACAAATATGATGTGTCAGTGTAATCTGGGAATAATTTTTAATTTTAGATCTAAACCAAAATATCACCGTTAGAAATGTAATAATAAGGTAATTGCAGTGAAGTGTGAGGTGGATTAAGAGTGATGTTGAAGGAGGAATTAGTACAGGTAGTCTCCAGGATCACACGAGACACTTAATTACTGAGACGACACAACAAGATGAACAATGTTGCGGTAATTCCACGTCATCAGTACCACCACCACCTCCATAACGTCAAATTACCCCCATCAATCAGCAGATATTGAGGTGTGTTCTCATGATCTTCTCTCATCCTTGTTCCCTGTATTACTCTCCTACCTTTTCTTTCCACTATCATTATCTTATCTTTAGTATCATCCTTTATTCCTTTGCTAAAACACATTTGTGATACATATCGTCTAGTTAAATCTTATCATGACCAGAGAACGGACTATACCAGCATAATGGTGACCTCAGGGTTAATAAATTTTACCAGACGCCTCTCACACCGACCTAGCTGTAAATAGGGTGGAGCCACGTCGGATAAGGTAGAGAGAGCAGACCTTGTGGCGCATTACTATTCTAGTGTCCTGGGAGGAAAGGGCCTGGTAAGGTCTCTTCCACTGGTTCAGGAGTCGGCGGCACACACACACACACACACACACAGTTGGGAGGGGGGCAGGGCTGAGTCGGCGCCTTGGTTGTTATTGAGTGGGCTTATTATTCTTTTAAAACTGAAGGTCTGTGAAACTATATAATTTATTTCTTCTTGTGTTTTCCACTGGCGGACATGAACGACGTGTGTGTGTGTGTGTGTGTGTGTGTGTGTGTGTGTGTGTGTGTTTTAGATGTATAAAGTAACTGACATAGATTATCCCTTCCTTATCCTTTTTTTTTAGTATCATAATTCTCTTATTCTCCTTCTACCCACATCACCTCCTCCTCCTCTTCTACATTATTCCATGCCCCCTCCCTTCCTCTCTTTATCGTTCCTCTTCTTTATTTCCTGCTGTCTTTGGTTCTCTTTATCTTTCTTGTTATACCCTTTCCTCCTTTCCCCTTTCACGTCCTTTTCTTTTATCTCTTCTCCATTCTCATATTTTTACTCCTTCCAACTCTTACCTCCTTCTTCCCTCCTCTTTCTTACCCCCCTTCCTCCTCCTCCTTCTTACCCCTCCCCTCCTCCCTCCCCTCCTCCCTCCCCCCCACCACCTCCCCACCCTCCCCTAGCTCCCTCCTCTTCCTGCCACCATCCTCAGAGAAGATAAACCGTGTTGCTTTAAAGGACTTAGAGGTCAAAGGTGAAGGTCAACTGGAACTAGAAACACAGCTTCCTTCACAAGGTTATATAATTCTCCTGGTGCCTGATGATAATGCTGAACCAACACACACACACACACACACACACACACACACACACACACACACACACACACACACACACACACACACACACACACACACACACACTATAAGCCCTCCAGACAGTATATAACAGAAATCTTATCGAGTATTATTGTTTTATCGTTGTGTCTGGCAGGAAGGATTACTTATAAAAAAATAATCCTACGAAGGGACTGAATAAGGGTTAGGTGTTTTAAGGATGTGAAATAGGAGACTAAAACACACACTAGGATTCTATAAAAGATTAACCAGAATTAGGAAACTAAGAACAGTGAAGTCTGATGAAAAAATTATAGGGTCAGGTTGAGTTTTATGAGAGTATTATATCAGACTATACTATAATAATATTGAATATATATTATGGATATTATGAGTCGTGCTGGGGTTAACTCTTGCTGAGATTTAGTGTATTAAGAAAATAAAGTGCTTTCATGAGGATATATCTTCATGAACGTCATATATTTGGCTCTGCCGCTGAACTGTTTTCAACTCACTTTCGACAAATTATATCCCTCTTCTGACTGGGGAATTTGTAGTCACTCAGCATATTCTGTTTAAAGCAGCCACAGATTTGACAATTTCTGGTCCATTGAAGCAATATTCGTACAAAAGATAGTGTGATGGTGTGCTTTGACCTGACTGACTGACTCGTTGGAGGTAGAGGTGGGCGTGGCAGGTGGGTAATAAACAACAGTTAGTACAGGTGATTCATCCCATGATGGATATAAATGTGTCAGGAGGGGGGGGGGGGTGAGGAAGGGTATATCGCACGTGTTATCCATCACTTTTGTGCCGATGAGCTTCAGTTTATAGCTCGTATGTGTGTTATGTTAATCCCTCAGGGGCTCGAGGCCTTGTCCTGGCTCACAGCGGATCAGTCAGATGAAATGTTTTCTTGAGCAAATCCTTGACTGTTCGGTGTTTTATTTACGTTTTACAATGGAAACACGACAATCACAGATACAAACCCTTCGACCTCCTCTGGACATTGACAACCATTGAAGCACGTAGAACACAGAGAATATCTTTTCCCATTTCAATGAAGTCGAGAAAAATGTATCGAGAGAGAGAGAGAGGGAGAAGTTGATAGATAGTGAGGTAAAAGTTGGCTGGTACAGGAAGGTCAACATTCCTCGGACCTGTCTTCACCAAGGCTCTTCGCCGCCACATCCTGCTCACCTTAGTCTTGGCTCACCAAGTTTCCAATTCGGGGCAGTAAGTTAGACAAGATTACCCCGTCTCTGGTGATGCCAAGTTACACAGACAATTACACAAGCTGGGATCAACCACCATCACCCCGCCCCGCCCCGCACCGCACCACTTGCCCCCACTCCCTCGTCTGCTCTCTTCCCCCACTTGACATACTGACTGTTACTGTCAATTGGATATAACTGGTTCTTCTCACTTGTAACTGGCACTTATAACGTTCATGTACCATTGACTTGGGTAAACGACTGTGTGGAAATGATGACTGACTGAAATGGTGACTGTTTCAAACTGGTGACTAGGTTGAACTTAGAGGCATTTGAAAAGGATGCCTGTCTGCAGCTGGTGACTGGCTGGAACTAACTACTGGCGGGAATTGTTAACTTTATGGAGTACGGCTTCCTGGAACCAGTCTGTCTCGGAAATTTTGCTTGTTGCCTGGAGCTCCCTGTTGCCCGGAGCTGCTTGTTACCCGGAGCTGCCTGTTACCCGGAGCTCACTGTTACCTGGAGCTGCCTCTTGCCCGAAGCTCACTGTTACCTGGAGTTCCCTGTTGCCTGGAGCTGGTGATATTGTGGAAGTTGTACCTGGTTTTAATTGCAACACAGAGTAAAGGTAGCCGTCAGGTGGAAATACTGACTGATTCAAACTAATAATTAACTGGTTATAAGTGACTGTAGTCAGTGGTGGACAACGGTGACTAACTGTAGTGAGTGGTGGACAACGGTGACTAACTGTAGTGAGTGGTGGACAACGGTGACTAACTGTAGTGAGTGGTGGACAACGGTGACTAACTGTAGTGAGTGGTGGACAACGGTGACTGAGGTAAAACTGGCACAACTAGCTGGGACTAACGACTGTTGAACCGAACCATTATCATTGCTGCAGTTGGGAGGTAGTTCAAACAAGTGACTGATGACTATAGAACCAGACTGGTCTCTGTAGAACCAGTGACTGATTGGTGACTCTTAAAACCACTGACTAGCTGGTGACTAAAACAACAGACTGTAACTGGTATATTAACAGAAAAGAAGATTGGTTTGAATTTTCTGAAACTGGTGATTGACTGACATGGGTGATGAGGCTGGCTGGAGGTGGTGTGTGTGTGTGCGCGCGCCAACACACTGGGTCTCAACACCTGGCCTCCCGCTGCTCTTATGATAAAATATTTTAAAATGTATAAGAAAAATTAAATTTCAGGAAAAAAAACTATAAAAACTCGTCCGCCATGCATTTTAATTTCGATAATGCTGTGAAAGAATATTGTCACATTTTTAATATTTTGAAGAAAAATTTGCCAAACAGATTAGTAAATTTACGAAATATGTTTTAAAAGGTTATTGTGTAATTTGTCAACCATAAGTGGTGTTTTTATTTGGTGTTGAGCTTCATTGAGTATTATAGCGCCACGTCTGTTTACGGTGGGATATACTGTATATTTATGTGCCCTGAGTATAAAATTGAACACTGTGTGCATACAGAATAAAACAAATATATTCAGTATATTTATGACCCCTGACCTCTGGTGTTAGTTTTCTCCGCCAGCGATCACTGTAATGTTTCCCTCCAGCCCTCAGGAGCCAATGGCTGTAGAGCAGTTAAAAGATGTATCTGTGAGACTGTTATCATATACTGTACCAGAACCAGTTTGTTACTCTGTGCCCGGAAGGCCAAGGTCACAGCCAGAGATCAAGGTTCAGAATTGGACTCAGATCAAATAAGATTTCATATTTACCCTGAAACTTGTGAACCGAAAATATCAGTTATTATGAGACAATAATACCTCGCCAACGCCACAGTCGAGGGTTAAACGTCGTACTGCCATTATAAACGTAATTTAAATATGTATAAGAACTTTTTTATTCCAATAAGAATATCATCACCAAACATTAGCTGAGTATACACCACCACCACCACACATCACCAGGCACAGGTCAAGGTCAAAGGTCACAGAAAAGTTATTTTACGCCTGATGAGACTACACCTGTCTGCGGACCCACCAAGTCTCGCTAGGTGGCGCCTGTTATTGATGACGACGACGACGAAAATACACATGATATTACTTGTTTCTTTTCGTCTTCAGTAATATATGAGTTTGGTAGATCCATATATTGGACTTAACAATCCTGATGTCACCCTGAGACATCGTTAATGTTATTTACTTTAAATTTGTCTGATGCTGCAGATGAGTGATGGGTCCATTTGTTAGGGCAGAAGTGTGTGTGTGTGTGTGTGCGTGTGTGCGTGTTTGAGGTTATTACTTCTGATGACTAATGTTTTTATGTTTCCACAGGGCACCGGCTACCTCAGGAGAGCCAAGACAGACAACCTGCGAGAGATCTTTAATAAGGTAAGTCTGTCTCCCTGCACACACACTGGGTAGCGTGTTATCCTCACTCAGGTGATTTATTAAATTATATGTTTGTTTTGGCCGGGGGGAGAGAGGAACTGTACATTACATTAGTCAACACAGATGGAACTCTTGATTTAGTAGTATTTGTATTATAATAGTCGAGTTTCATAGTATTTCAGATACAGTCATTTTCATCATTGTTGTTTAGAGCTTGTGGCGGAGGAAGACTTGGCCACCTGTAAGCTCTCATCACTGGCTGCCCATTTCAATTTTTTTTCTTGAATTCTAGTGAGAAAATTCAGAACAATATATATATATATTTTTTTATTTGAGGGACATCCGCTTTTTATGTGATGCAAACCTACCTGTACCATTACCTGTACACCATGTATGTAAACTTCTTCCACTGTGGTTAAGAAAAGTGTGTGCGTTTTTTGCTGTTTGGAAGAATTGCTAGTCTTGAAACTTACATAAATTAATACTTTAAGGAATGACAAATTGTATGGAAAACTGTAATATAACCTTTCAAATCCAACATTTATAGCCTTCGAGAGCACACCAGGGTCCACGGGGCATTTGAGGTGTCATTAAATTCTCAAACTTTTGGTCACACCTGCCGGGAAAACGTGTGTATGCCCGGCTGCCACTTTACACCTGACTTATGAACACATATATTTCCTGCCTCTCAAAACAGGCCGTGTTATTAAAGCAGTTAAGTATTTCTGCCTTTCGTTAGTGGTTTAATAAATCGGCCAAGAGTTATGTTATGGAGGTGGTAGTGAAGTACGTGTGTGTGTGGGGAAGGAGAGTTTACGAGCGACCTGTTATTCTGGTTTATACAAGTTACCTGACAGTTTGGGGCTTTTTTCACCCTAGTTATCAGTAGTGTTGATGCTGGTTGTAGGAGAGAGAGAGAGAGAGAGAGAGGAGAGTTTATGTTCTTAAGGAAACCGAACTACCTGTATATATATAAACCCTTAGTGACATGAGCAGAACGATCACTCCTCTTGGTAAGTATCAGGAAAAAAAATAAACTGAAGGATTTTGTCACACTCAGCCATGGAGTTGTTGAACGTAAACTAGGACCAGGAGTTTACAATTTCCAGAGGGCAGTTAACAAATACCAGTAAGATCTGTTTCCTTTAGTCTCCCCGAAAGGTTAGAGGTCGTTTTCTGTGACCATCCTCTAACAGTCTATTGCGTGCCTCTGTCAATCAGCCAGTGCAAACATGATACTCATCCCCCTCCTTCCCCACTCCTCGTCCCTCTCACCCCCTCAGCTCTCTTACCCCCACCCTCTCCCTCCCCCACCCTTCTTCCCCCCCCACCCCCTCTTCCCTCTTCCTCTTCCCCCACCCCTCTTCCCCCCCACCCCTCTTCCCTCCCACCCCTCTTCCCCTCACCCCTCTTCCTCACCCCCTCTTCCCTCTTCTCCACCCCTCTTCCCTCCCCACCCCTCTTCTCCTCTCCCACCTCCTCTTCCCCCTCTCACCCCTCTTCTCTCACACACAACATCAATACCGGTAACGACACAGATTGCAACTTTGCGACACATTACAACAGGGTGAACGTAAACACTCATCTCCCGAGGAAACTAAATTAGGTGTTATGTGTTGTTAAGTTCTCCAGTAGGTCAATGAAACTAATTATACACAATGAAGGTAGTGTGTATGTATGTATGTATGTATGTATGTATGTATGTATGTATGTATGTATGTATGTATACAGTGAGTCGGTGTGTATAATGTGTTGGAGTGTACTGGGGAGAGAAGTCACAAGAGCTGTACAAACATGACAGGTTGGGAAGGAGTGTACTTAAGTGTATGGTAAATTGTGGGGTGTAGGTGTGGTAGGTGGGAGCAGTGTGTAGGTGTGGTAGGTGGGAGCAGTGTGTAGGTGTGGTAGGTGGGAGCAGTGTGTAGGTGTGGTAGGTGGGAGCAGTGTGTAGGTGTGGTAGGTGGGAGCAGTGTGTAGGTGTGGTAGGTGGGAGCAGTGTGTAGGTGTGGTAGGTGGTGGGAACAATAAATTTTAAATGGCGGGGGTGAAAATATATGTGGTGAAGGTTTATGGTGGTGGTGGTGGTGGTGGTGGGGAGGAAGTGTAGGTGTACGAGGAGATAGTGAGTGTCTGAGTGAGGTGGTGGAGAGGTAATGGTGTGGTGGAGGGAGGTAATGGTGTGGTGGAGGGAGGTAATGATGTGGTGGAGGGAGGTAATGGTGTGGTGGAGGGAGATAATGATGTGGTGGAGGGAGGTAATGGTGTGGTGGAGGGAGCTAATGGTGTGGTGAATGGAGCTAATGGTGTGGTAGATGTTAGATGGACACTAGCCTGGATACATTATACATTATACTCACTCTGTATAAATTTTGTTTGTGTATGTGTCGTGTATTAAAGCACCAGTATATAATAATCTATGAACATTTCAACTATACATTCATCTTTATTCTCACTCTCACCAAGAAAACTCAAATGAAACTTAAAAATAAACACTTTCTTTTAATTAATATTCAATGCGAAACGAAAAATTCACGTCAGTTTCTTCTCAGACTAATTGCGTCATGGATATTCACTCTAGCCGCTAGGTTGGTTCTTGGGTGACACTTTCTTTATCACTTCATCTTCGTCACCTCTGGCGTTTTGCTCTGGTTTAGTTCTCTGGCCCAAATGAGTCAAGCTGGGTGTGTTATTTTCTTTTTTAAACCCATCCAGCCTCCTAAAACATACATACACACATACATACATACATACATACATACATACATACATACATACATACATACATACATACATACATACATACATACGATACTGTATTTTAGTTTCTCGACCTGGAGGCAAGGCGACCTCAACACAACCCCATCCAAGGTCAAAGAAGGTGAGGATATCACATTGTGGGAGGCACTTATCACTGTTGACCCTCCTGCCCCGCCCCTCCCCTGCACCCCGCCCCCTGCCCAGCTCCTTCTCTCAGTCCCCCCCTCCGCCCCCCTCTAGCTATATTCACTCCATTTCTGTCTTTTCTTCTTGTTTATGCCTCTCTCTTATTCATCCCTTTTATTGTTGTCTATTTTTTTTCACTTTATCCATTGCGCTCTTCTATCTTACGTACTTGTTTTATTGCCTCCGTTGTTTCCCATTTCTTCCATTGTCCTCTCCCACCGTGTTTTATTGCCCTCTCTTTCTCACTTGTTCTGTTGCCTTCTTTTTTTTCACCTCTTTTATTGGTCTCTCTTTCACGTCTGTTTTCTCTCAGTTCCATTACCTGTATTTTTCACTTCATTTTCACTATCTTTATCTCCCCTACCTTGTTTTTCTCCTGTCTTTCTCTCCTTTACTTCTCCCCATCTCCTTTTCTTTCCTCCTCATCTTTCCTTTTCTGCTCCTTTCTTTCTTCCTCTCTTTTTCATCTTTGTTTATTGATTCTTACACACACACACACACACACACACACACACACACACACACCTTGATTCATAATGCATAATAAAACTGATACAGGAATTAATCAGTGCAGGTCATAACAAGTCACGTCACTATACACAGTAACATGAGGGGGGAGGGTGAGGTCAAAGGTCACATTGAGTAGTGAGGTCAAGTAAGGTCACAGTGGGTGGGAAGGTCACAGGTTATAAATGAGAATGGTGAAAGTTCCACCTCTAACCTTTTATGTAATTTTAATGAGAGAGAGAGAGAGAGAGAGAGAGAGAGAGAGAGAGAGAGAGAGAGAGAGAGGTCATTAGACACACTACTATTAATGAGACTCGGTACCTTTTACAAAACACATTAATTATATATTATAGACAAACCCGATACAATTTCACACACACTACTACTACTACTACTTTGCTGTCACTCGGAATCGAGTATGACGATCATCCAGCTATGATACGATGATACGAGTTATTCAGGATGTCACTTTCGTTGGTGTGTTCTGAGGTGACTATAGAGGCCGACACGGGACCGGCAGGGTCGATCACAGAAGTTGCACATGTGGGGGGCTACATCTAGTGTGGGAGGGGCGGTGGCAGCTTCTTTCCGGCGTTGGCGCTTGTCTGGATTGTTATGCAGTCGGGGTAACTCGAAAGTATCGACTCCCAGGTGAGGGGGGTCGATTTGGCACTTTTTCAGGTTTGTCTTAAGACTATCCTTATACCTTTTCAGTTGACCCCCCCCCCCCTCCACACACGCACACGCACACACGAGTTAGGATTGTAATCTGTAGCATTGATTATGGATGGTGCCGCCCACTTACAAAGGTTACTGTTGGGGTTGATAAGGTCAGTACAGTAGACAGAAAATGACCCTTTACCTCCCGTGCTCCTGGTGGTCATGTGTACAACTTGTTTTGATGGCTAAGGTTATATTTTGAGATGATATAGATTAAGGGGGTCACACGGGATGCTTTTCCAGTCAGCTGATTACAATAAACAAAATATCAGAGTTAATCCTATTTGGCAGAACACTTCAAATGCGTTTTAACTTTTAAGGCTAAACCGGGCGATTATCCCTACAAACTAATTCTTGTAGACTAAATGCTGATGATATGATTAATGTTTTACGTAATCTTTTTGGATTTTGTTTCATTGATATGCAAATTATACAACACAGACTTATGTAAATATAGTGCTGTTCATACTGTCATATCAGGTGTTGGCGTCGTGTCGTGTTAGTGTGGCGTCGTAGCCTTACACCATTGTATAACTACTGTACATTCCGGAGTGGTAGAGGGGCAAGTGTAGGCTGTTTATGTGTGCTGGTTGTAATCATTCATTGTTTAAAGTGAACTGTGTACACCACTGACGGGTTGTATATGATATATAATGACATTGTAGTGAAGGTGAAATATAAGTGTACAATATTTACAATTATGAATCAAACTGAGTGAAATTTTAGTGATGGTGTCAGAAAAATTTAGCATTTGGTTGATCTGGTTTTCACTAAATTTGTGGTATAAATTTACGTTTGTATGTCAGTGACTTCGGTGATAGTAAGGACAC